AACTCTTAATATTTATCCTATTTAATAATTAAAAATGTTAATAAATATAATTAATATTAATAAAATTGTTATTATTTCAAAAAATATGTTCAAGCGAGATAACCATGGCTAAACTACGAGGTGAACCTTTTTCATGTTTGTTTCCCTTTGACCGTAAGTTTTTTTATTTTTTCTTGTAACATTGAAATTCAAAGAGAGCTAACTTATGAAATTTTTAAGTGTTGCTCTATAATCTCCCCTTCAGCGCCGAAAATTTTTTCGCTTTTATTTTCATTAAACCAATGACCAGTTTAAAATTTATTCAATAAGATTTAAATAGTTCTCACATTTCTGTTTTAAATTCACTTTTTATATATTTTGTGTACAAAATGTTATTTATTGGCAACAGGTATCTTACAAAAAAATGGATTTGTTTACTAAAAAGTCTAAATTTTTATCTATTTTAACACAGATGAATCTTAATAAATGTTAATATTAATAAATATAGTTATAATTTTTGAAAATATATTTAAGCGAGGTAACCATGGCTAAACTACGAGTTGAATCTTTTTAATTTTTGTTTCCTTTTGACCGTAAACTTTTTCAGTTTTTCTTGAAACATTAAAATTCAAAGAAAACTAACTTGGGAAATTTTAAAGAGATGCTATATAATTTTTCTTCAGCGCTGACATTTTTTTCGCTTTTATTTTCATTAAATAAAACCGTGAACAGTTGAAAATGCAAAAGATTTCAGAAAGTTTCAGGGGAAATAACTGAAATATCATCAGAGGAGTGCCGATCATTCTCTAAACAGCAGGCTTTATCTGTGTTCAGTGAAAATAAATAAATAAAAGAATACTAGTTTAGAAAAACAAAATTATGGTCAACACATTAAGGGCGCTAATGACAAAACGTAGTTTTTCTTTGTGCGGATCTTAGGGCGAATAATATTTAAATTCTAACATATCAGACCTATCGAAAGGCGAAATACTTGTAATCGGTATACAATTTTTTTCGAGTGGGGCCTAGTAATTATTCACATTTTCTAATCAATGTGTTTTATCCTTCAAATGATTTTTTGCAAGCCGATCTCAGGCTAGTTGTATACCTAACATATACAACATAAAGTTGACTTAAAGTTGACTTAAAGTTGACTTAATACTCTTCACTTTTAGTTTTTGAAATTATATAATAATATAAAACACAACTTACAATTGTTAGTTGAATCATTATTGTAAAGCAGTTCGTTAAAAATTTCTGCAGCTATATATATATATATATATATATATATATATATATATATATATATATATATATATATATATATATATATATACATATATATATATATATATATATATATATATATATATATATATATATATATATATATATATATATATATATACATATATATATATATATATATACATATATATATATATATATATGTGTGTGTGTGTATGTGTGTGTTCTATATTCTGTTATGATTTTGTTCTTGATAAAATACAATACGGTTTTACACAATTGAAATCACAAACAATGAAGTTGGCGGGGTGTGCCATATTTTAACCAATGTAAGGTAGTTGTCAAATCATGTCTCATTGCCCAATAAAACTGGTTAGCACTTCATGTTTTCCTGTGATTATTTTAGACCAGCTGGTCATTCTCTCAGGTCCGCTACTTGATGACAGAACTGGTCTACTTGACGGCTACAGCTGATCATTCTATTCTGGACAGGTGTGTTTGTGTGTATGCATGTATGTTTGTATGTTTGAATGTATGCATATACGTTTGTATGCATATATTTATGAACTTGGTCTTAACTAGCCTAGATTACTAAAGAGTCAGTTATAAAATAAATATAATGTATAATAATTATGTTATAATACTAGTGAATTTTAAATGACGCCACAGACATCTACCTAACCAAATAATATGTAATACATAGGCGTAGCAAGGGGGGGGGCAGGGGTGGTGACCGCACCGGGTGACACCATTTAGGGGGGCGACACCAAGGCAAAACATAGTAAAATATATAGAGAAAAATTTGAGGGGTGGGGGTGCAAATCGAAAGCTTGTGTGGGGGGATGCAAATCGAAAATTGAAAGTTTGTCCACGGGAAGAGTCGCTACGCCTCAGGGGGGTGACACCATTAAGTGCCGCACCGGGTGACACCCGACCTCGCTACGCCACTGATGTAATATGTATATTATATTGTTTGTAGAAAGCCAAACTTATGACGTATGGATTTTTCTTGATCTCTAAGATAAAAAAATCAAAAATGAATTTTTGTGTCTTCAAGCAATTTAGGAACGATCCAAGCGTAAGATACAATCCTCTGTAAATGTTAAAGTATTTTTAATTTGTTACCTTTTTTAAAAAATTCTGTTGCAGATTAAATCCGATACCTAAAACTATAATTTATAATCAGCCAAATAGAATGGCATGCGTATTTTAAAAGTAGGTCTGATTATTCAATCATGACTTTATAAGAGACGATGTTTATTGATTATGTGTAATTAGAACAAAGTTTGAACTGTAACCAAAGTCGTTTTTGTTTGTCATCAAACACGTTAAAGACACGATCGTAAAAGGGTTATGCAACTAGAATGATACAACGATAATTTACAAGTTTTTCTGTTTTAAAAAAATGCGTGGTATTGAATAGGTAAAGCTATTGAAAGTCCGCAGCATTTACATTATTTAAGATCCGCCTGTGATAATAAAAATAAGAGAAAAGTTAATCAAATTTCAGCAGATGCAGCTATTGTAAAAAAAAAAGGTTGATGGTAATCAAATGAGTGCCTTAAAGATAAACTCTGGGTATGGAGACGCTAAAGGTGTAGAACAACTTATAGACAATAGTGCTGCAGTAAATCAGTCGTGCATACAGTGCCTTGATCTTTGCCTTTGAAAATTGGCTCTGGCAAACTATAGAAAAAACATATTATTAACGGGGCTCTAGTCCATTAGGTGAATGCAGATGGACGTACGGCATTGATATTAGCATCAGATAAGAAAGAAGCTGTTACTATTATAATTAACACAACACGTCATTTAAATAAAATTAATTTTGAAGGTAATTACGCTTTGATGTTAGCTTCTAGAAAAGCACAGTCTAAAGTTGTAGAAATTCTACTAAACAACGGGGCTGAATTAAATAAAGTTTAGTGTAAAAGCTGGAACCTCTCAGGAAGGATACTTGAAAGTTGCAAAACTGCTAGTACAAAAAAACGGGTGTAATGGGTAGGCCGTATTAATGTTAGCCTCCAAATACGGACACGAAAAAGAAGTTAACCTCATAATACAACATAACGCTGATGTAAATGTTGTTGATGAAAATGGATCGAATGCATTAATGTTAGCCTCTAAATGTGGACACGAGGAAATAGTTGAAAGTTTAATAAAAAAAAAACAATAGTATGAGTATACTAGATACTGTTAACAGAGCTGGGTACAATGCTTTAATTCTTTCCAACGCGGACACGAACAAATGGTAGAAATATTAATACAATACGGAAGTAATGTTACAAGCACTAAAAACAAGGGTAGGACTCATTAATGATAACTTCTGAATATGGAAAAGGAAACGTTGTCAAGCTTCTAACAAATGGTTGTAGTAATGTAAATAATTATGATATTAATGGACGGAGTGCATTAATGTTAGCCTCTCAAAACGGACACGAATCTATTGTAAATTTACTAATAGAATATAACGCTAATGTCTGCGGCGTTCAAACTCATGGACGGAATGCCATAATGATAGCATACCATGAAGGGCACACAGCAATAGTAGAACGTTAACTTGTACATCGCCATTCTGCCTTAATGATAGCTTCTATCAGAGGTCACGACCAAATTGTGTCACTACTTATAAAAGCAGTTGACAATGATGGTTGGACGGCTTTAATGCTTGATTGTCACGTAGGGCATGCGAAAGTTGTCGTTGTATTGCTAGGTACAAATGCTAGATCAGATGATAAAGATAAAGATGTATGGAAGGCTATAATGATTGTTGCTGAACAAGGACACGAAAACATGATAGTCAAGATGATAGTCAAATTAATAGCGCAAGAAATCGATCTAGTCGTTGCTAAAATCAAAGATGGGTACACTGCATTACTGCAAGCTACACAGAATGGACAAGCCAATTGTGTAAAGCTTTTGTTACCACATTCAATGTTCATAATGTTGAAAAAGGCAAGTGGAACGCATTAATGTTAGCCTCACAATAAGGAAAATTAACTACAGTAAAACATTTGCTTAAAAATAAACCGGGAGTGATCTCCCCTAAACTTTCTCGAATATTATGATATATCACAAAGGGGATGGCAACTCGGGATATAAACACGAATTGTAATCAGCTTTTGCTTGCTTAATAACTTTTTAAAATAGAATAGAATCTCATAGAAAAAAGAATCGCACACCAAGTGAACGCCAAAAAAAATGTGTATAATAATGCGGAATAATATAAATTTACATGCGTTTTTAGAGAAATAGCAAATAGCGTAAATTACTACTTCCGGTCATCGGAAATAACTCAACATTTGACAGAAGGCAGAGAATTAAATCTTTTACTTCTATCTGAAATTTCATTAATCTATCTGAAGCAGTACTCAAACTATAGGCTTTTAAAAAACTGAAATGATAATAAATTCCATTTTCGTTTAGCGGAAATCGTTAAAAAGTTTAAACAGAACTACAAATGTGACATAATACTTAGAGATAAAATTTCATCAACATAGCGGTACTCAAGTTATTGTGTTCACACACAAACACACACACACACACACACACACACAAACATACACACAGACATACGGACAAGATTGCAAAACTATGTTTTTCCGACTTACGGAGGTGTAAATCGTCGAGATTTGCAAAAATCTCAATTTTTTTTTAAACTATTGCAATACTTTGTCTATACATAGCATACGAGATAGTAAAAATAGATGTTGTTTAACAATAGTATTTAAAAATATAATTAATGTTTAATGAAAACAAGAACAAAAAAAGAT